GAGAAAAGCATAAAATACTTTTACTACTACATTGCAACATTCAAAACAATACTGTAACAATAATCAAAGAATTGGGTTCAAGCCATCGACTATATTTTGCATACCACTTTTTTATATTTTCATATCGATTACTAAAAATAACTTAAAATTTTTATTTAAAGTTTCCGCCGTTCCGCAAAATTTATACAATCATACAATAATTTCATTTTGCAAATTTTTATTCCATAAAAAGTAAAGTATCCCGCCATTCCGCTATTTAACCGGGAACGGTCTGATCCGATTAAAACAGATTTTAAAGGGAAAAGTTAGCGTAGATAAAACCGGTCCGGTACGATCCGGGTTTGAAATTGCACGACTCTTCTTCTTCTCCGCCTCCGTCTCTTGATTTGGGATTGCTCTTCAATTCCTCAATTAGGGTTTTCAGATTTACTCGAAAGATTTTAAGGTTAGCCATGAAATTTTTAAGATTTAGAATTTTCTTGAAGCTAAAATCGTTATCAGAAAGTGCAAGGAAGAGAGAAACATTCATAATTCGTAATGGATTGATGAATTTGCTATTTTTGATATATTGTCAGATTGAGAAAGGAGAGAGATGAGCAACGAATCAGTGAAGGAAGAAGACGAATTTGTTCTGATTGATCTTGACGATGTTACGAGGCACATTGACATTCCCTCAGATGCTCCATATACTTTATCAGTTTGTCCAATTTCTCTACCTTTATGATCAGATTACAACACTCTTTGTATTATAGTTTTTTTTTGTGTGTTCTGAAGTTTGGTTTTTGTTTTATTATTCTTAGGGATTGGATACTTTGAATCCGGTCTTGACCATTGATGGGAAAATCAAGCTTGTAAGTCTTAAATTTTCCAAGTTCTTGCTTAGAAACATTCTTAATGGTTCCAGATTTTGATCTAATCTGTTTTTTTTTAAGGTTGGAGAGTATATAGAGACAATTGGTACATGCCTTGCATTCTCTGACAAGGAAGGTTAGTTCACTTTTTTTTATAAACCTCTCACAAAAACATGAAACCCTCTTATTGTTTTCACCTTGTGGGTGAAAAGAAACATGTATTGTGTTTCAAGTAAATTCTTTCTCTTTCAGTTTCATTGTACTGATTTTGCAGAAGTTCCCGCGGATGAAAGCCAAACGGCGAAGAAGAAGCTTGTCGAACCTGTTGCCAAAATCCACAAGATTCTTAAGTTTCGGTTAGCATTCGACAATGGCGATAAAAAAACAAACACAACCAATTGGTAAAGGTTTTTTTATGTTTCTTCTGTTCAAGTCACTGAAGACCTCTTGAGTAATGGATTACAAATAGCATAAATGTTGCTGTTGTATTGGAAGTTCATCTTTCAGGTAGTTCAAGACAGCTTTTGTTCGTATTTCCATTACTGAACCTCTTACAACTACTGTCTTATTACTGACACCTTTTTCGACTAACAAAACTCATTACTGTATTATTACAGTAATTGAATCTATACATTTTTATTTAAAAAAATTTTGATGTAGACAACAATAGTTTAAAAAGTACTATTATTAATAATATATTTTAAAAGATTACATATATTGAATGCACATACTCTCCCAGCAAAAGTAAACAAAATAATTAGAACACATTATAGTGTTAAAGCCCGCACAACAACAATTTGAACACAATACAGTATTAAGCCTGCACAACGTGCAGGTCAATTTCTAGTGTCACAAACAACATAGGTGTTGATGTTGTCGAAGCTACGGATTTGGAAGTCTGTCTTTCAGGTAGCTCAAGACAGCTTTTGTTCCCCTCTCTAAAATTGGCCTCCTGATGCTGTTTGGTGAAAAAGAAAAAAAATTAAAATCCTGGAAATTTATTGTTTTTCATGAGTTTCTATGTTTACAATTGAGTCAATAAAAATATACCTTCTTAATGGGTTCCCGTCGAGCCGTAGAATCTCAAGTGTTGGCTCAAGCAAACCCTAAGAAACAACACATGACTTGTTATCACATAATAATGCATTCTATATGTTTCATTCAAAGCAAGGCAACAGAGTTTACCAGTTCTGGAGGAAGACTTGAAATGTTGTTGTTGGTTAAGTCAAGATGTTTGAGTGAAGTCATGTTCTTGATACTCTGCATGGAAAACAAAAACAGAGCCAATGCAATAAACATTATTATAAGAAGACTTATGGTTAATTAGCCGACTGATGCAGGTTCCACTAAATTCAAACCACAGATATTCATCAATTCGCCAGTAAAAACCGCAAAGTAGAAGGTTATAGCAATATACTACCTTGGGAATCGATTGAAGTGAATTCTGGCTCAAGTCGAGGATAAGCAGATTAGCTAAGTTGAGGATATCTTCAGGGACTTCAGGCAGCTGGACTCGGCTGTGAAATGAGGTATCAGATTCTTAAACCAGTGAATAATCATAGATGGGCGATGAATAAGATAAGGCATTATAACCAACCTCAAATAAAGCTCTTGTAGTTGTGGCAAGTGGGAAAACTTGGGATGCTCATTGATGCCAAAGGAAGCTACATTACCACTTAGGTCGAGAATCTGAAGCCCAGTGACTGCTTGAAACCCATCCAGTGGAATCTTACGAACAAATTAAAAAAGAAGGTAATGGATTAGTGTCTTGGTGGAAGCTATATAATCAACTCTTTAATTCTTCTTCTCTTCCAACATCAACATACCTGCTTCAGGGGATTATTATCCAACTTCAAGCATACAAGATTTGGAAGTGACTTTAAGATTGCACCGGGCCAATCTTTGATCTTGTTCCGTGACAAAATCAAAGTCTACAATTACAAAGAGAACATGGTATCTGAGAAATATAACCGATATACTTTATTGTAGTAAAGGCACATGTAGCATGTTCTATGTATATATGAAGAATGTTGTGCAAAACTCATTACCTGAAGGGAAACAGATGAAGAAAGTTGAGCAGGCAATTCCTCGATAGAGTTCTTAGAAAGATTAACTTTCGTGATTTCACCAGATTCCAAAACTTCTGAAGGAACAGCACTCAAGTTGAGACCTTCCAGAGAAAGTTCCTACGGTTGTGTGTAACAGGAATCATTTAAGATTATAAACTCATGTTTCTATTAATAACATGGAACTCTTACTAGGATGGTGCTCAGATTTTTTTATTTCACTTACCTTTGAAGATATGGACATACGAGCTGCTGAAGCAATTACAGTTTCCTTTGTCGGAGTGCTTGCACTAGTTTCTATAAATAGAAACCTTTTACAATTAGCCATAACCACTTAGATA